AGCAGCTGTTACCTTGTCTTTGGAGGGAATATCTCTGTATAGGTGATATGAGGCACACATGGTGCTTTATGAACTTGCAGCCGTAGCAGAGAGCCTTCACAAGGGTATAGGTTAGCAAGGAGAATGCTGTATGAGCAGCAGCCCAGAAAACCACCACATGGGAAGGGACAGTGTAAATCTTGGCTTCTCCTGAAACTGTACATCCTGAAACTGGAATGATCTCCCATGCTTCATCAGGTCAGCAGGTAAAAAAAAGTGTTTTAATCTGCATGTTGAACTCAAAATTGCTGCATCAAGTTTAGTGTAATGACTGAGTAAAATCAAAAGTCTTGTTTAATTGCTTTTTTGGACAACATCCAGAAAGAACAGTTAAAATAGAAATGAAACAAAGTTCCCTAAAGTTGTCCAAATCCTATCTCATTTTAGTGTAAGCATCATGAACACATGAACCACCCAGAGACACGTTTTCTGTGCACTCTGGGGTCCAAAGTGAGCTGATTCTTGCTTTGCATGGAGGATGGCAATCCAAAGTTACACCACATGGTTGATGATCCACTTCAGCTTAGCTGAAGTCTCAAATTTAAAACAAGAAACATGGACTTGATCTCACGTTGACTTGCCAGAAGGTTCAAGGCATCTTCGTAAGAGGTAAGAATCTATCATACCCCACAACACTTGGATCAGATCATGAGGAAGAGCCTATTAGTCTGGTTTGGACAATACCTCACCTATGAATAAGGAGGCAATTCTTGTTTATAGAGTGCTGCTCCCAGGAAAGGTGGAAGCAGTTACATTTAGCTTTTGACTGAATGTGCAAATCTATTCCTGGATCAGCACTGCTTGTCACTGCCTGTCACACGCAGTGAATGAGCACAGGACTCTGACTTACAAAGCAGCACATCAACATATTTGCAAGAGCACAACAGTGAGGAGTCTTTCACTTACGTTTTGGCTTTCCTCTTCCTTTTTGTCAGCTGGCTTGTCTGACTGCGACGCTGCTTTCCTCCTTTTGAAAGGAACATGAGATAGGACACACAGTCAACGCTCTAGAAAGACATCCTCCACGTGGGAAGGCTGATTCAGGCTCTGGTGGGAGTCATTATTTACTTAGTTCATCCTAGGGACTGCAACAGAGGCTGAATGTGTTTGGTTGTGTAGGACTGGGGTGAAGGTGAGGAATTCAGACCTTGGTGATACAACTCACGTTGTATGAGGGAGAGGGCAATATTTTGAGGCGGTGTTTAACAGAGGAACACAGGGTGCAGAGCATAAGGAAATGTGTCGAAGCGGAGGAAGGAAGTGCAGCTGGGTATGAAACTGGGTGAGAAAGGGAAGGCTTCTCTCTAGGGCTCAGGAAATGGTGGCTTCTGTGTCCTACACAGGAGGAACAACTCAGACCCCACAGGGGTTTCTGAGGACCAACCCAACTTCCCTGGGTGGCTCAGGTGAGTATTGCAGCGATGGCACTACACTGTGTTCTTGGGCAGCTACCGTATCATTTTGTCACCCATTCCATATCCTCTCTTCCCTGTTCCCTCCCAGAGAAAGGGCTGTGGCGATGCTTCCATGTGATGGGAAGACAGTCAGAAAAGCCCTTCAACCCAGGTCCATCTTTACTGGGAAAGACCATTTCTGCTCAGCCAAGACCCCTGCTCCCTCCAAGGTGGGAAAGCTATGGCTAGAGACCAGGAGTCAGGAAACATTAGTGCACCAGCCTGGGTTTTCAAGGGCCTTTGGTGAGTGATGGGAGATTATTGCTGTCTCAAATCCAAGGCAGCAGAGCTCCTGAGCCCTACAGTCGCAAGATTGGCAGTCGTGTTGGTGTCTGCAGAAGCTGAGTGAGGACCTGAGACCCTCACTCTGTCCTGCTTCCCAAGGCAAGGCAAAATTCCCTAAGAAGCAAGTGGCAAAGAGCTGCAATCCACTCACTGGAGCAACTGGACATAAGAGTAAAGATAGATGTTGGTTGTTTATCTTTGAAGAACATATGGTAAAACTTCTTGGGTGTTAAACCACATGGGCTGAAGCAAAAAAAAAAAAAAAAAAAAGAATCTTGATTTTCCAGCCATATTTAGGGTTTAAACAGCACTCAAATGTGCCAGGTACTCATTCTCTAAACATCGAGTTTCCTATATTAGACAATGAGAACTGCAGCTCTAGTCTCCACAAGTGTTTTGGTTGTGAGGATCCTTATCCTCGTCCACGTGCAAACACTGCCCTTAGCGTATTTTTTTTTAAACACAAGTATGACAGGTTTTTCATTTAGTCTTGATTCTGAAATGGACAAAACTGTCACAGAAAAAAAAAATAATCCCAAGTGGCACTTAGAAAGGCTTCAGAGTTTCAAAACGCTGCCACAAGTTTGACAAAGGATTTTTTTTCGTATCATTGGCAAAAGAAAAGCCTCACTGGATATACAATTGGAAGATTTGATGTAAATTTGACAAAAAAAAACCAAAACAGAAAAGTAAAACACATGTATGTGTTTGTAGGACACAATCTCTGGGGGAATTATTTCCAGATATTCAACTGCATTAATAATTTTATTAGATCAGTAACAATTTTATAGTCTTTATAATATAATAATCAGTTGATATTTCTGAAGAAAAATGTTATCATGGTTACAAACCTGAGCCAGGGAAATACTTGCCAAGGTAAGAGACCAGTGTTAGTGTTATGTCCTGCAACAAGCTTAACTAGGCTAGAAATGATAGCATTGTGTAAGAGGGATAGTTCATTATTCTGCTTGCACTTCAGTCCTCAAGCAAAGGGCTGCTGTCACGGGGGTCACTAAATTTAGAGGCTGGTATTTTATACCACCTGAGCTCTCAGAAGCATTTTTCTCCATTACTTTCCCAGCATCAGACACATTCCCTGTTTCTGATCATGTGGTTTTCTGCTCAGAAAAGAGCTCTTGAGATCCCCTGCTCATCACTCAAGTGATTTCTGTATTGAACATGCTCACTTTAACAAACATCTTTTTTACCTCCTGGCTGCCAGCTTGGTAAGAGCAACCTGAGACACAGTGCCAGGTTCTTTCCTTTCTCTATATCATCACACATAAAAAGGGTTTTGCAGCCAAAAGAAGTCCTCTCAGTATCAGTTTAACAGCATGATTGCACCTTTGACTGACACTTGTATATTTCCAGTGACTTGCATGGGTTTGTGAAGAAAAATTTAGGAGACAAATCTGTTGCTGTGAACTCCCTGGGAAAGGATCTGCAGCTCAGTTACTTTCAGAGCAGAGGCAGCACGCTGCTCATGGGCGGTGCAGGTGCTTTTGTTAAGATGCCAATGGGATTTGGCTCTGAATACTTGAAGACACCGAATCCCACTGCTGAAATCTGTACTTGGGTATGTTTTAGATTAGAACCACAAAAATTTGAAGGATTTCTATATCCAAGCATATGAGACGTCCATTTAGCTTGCTTGCTTGAACAGAGCTAGTTACCCCAGCATCTAGTTACTAAACCTTACTTTGCTTACAGACGTTTTCTAGTTCAGCAAAGTCAGTCTTGATAATGTGGCAGCACAAAATAGATCAGAAATTTAATCAGTAAATAACTATTAAAAACTATTAAACTATTCTAATTCTGAAAGGAGAGAAAATTATCTATTTGGTGTTTTGCACTGCTGGTAACTTTTTATAATGTTGTGTATTTATTTCATGCTTTCCAAAGGACTGCATCACAGTCCACGTTCAAAATTCCTTCTGAAATGACCAGGACATCATGTGTGAAGGTTACCACACTGCAGGATTTGCTACAGCAGCTAAACACTGCCAGGTGTCATTGCTGCAACACCTACACTTTCATATCAAGGGCCAGGCGATGCTGGCGACTAACATCTATGTAGGACCTGTCAAATTGCACAGAAGCACCAAAGTGACCCATTGCTAACAAAAAATGACAGCACTTTGTTCCACAGTTTGCAGAGCTCATGCTGGTGCTTACTTGAAGTCCAAGTACAAACCTTTTTGCCAGTAGTTTATTCATTTCTTCCATTAGTCCTCCTCCGCCTCCTCCACTACTTGTTCGATTGGCATCGCTCTTAGAGACCCCACTGGGGCTGGACCCTCCTGAACCATCTTCTGGCTTAAGACAGAAATCAACATTGGAATTAACGAACAGTTTCATTTACAGTCACACCCTAGTGATTAGTTTTCCTAATTATTAAGAACAGCGATCACAATCACAGCCCAAAACCAGAGACAGGATGTGTTCTACCTTGGGGAGAAAACCCACATGGACCTTGCAATAGTCTAAGTGAGGCAGATATATGGGCAAATGATGAAAAAGCCCACAATGTTGTTTGTTCAGGATTATGTTTATGCGTGGTTATGGAACCCTTACCTAAGTGGACACCTATTGATGTGAGGCCTCAGCAGTCTACACTGTTTTTTTGTAAGCATGGTGTAGTCTTCACCACTTAAAATGACTGAAAACACTAACAGATAGTACAATGGTGGAGTTTGCAGAAGTAATGAAATCTTGCTAACATGAGGACTTGCAGCCATCTCCTAATTAATATTTTCTGAAGAGCAGAAATTCTACCAAACATTTCCTGCTCAGCTTAATTGCACCACCAACTCACATTTGACAGTTCACCTAATGGTCAGCTGAAGTATGTTTCACCATGTTTCATGCTGGATTTGCAGACCATTACACCAAGCTAGGCTTTCCCACAGCGGAGAAGAGCCCAGCGAGGAGTCCCAGTGCCACCTCCTTACCCGTTGAACTCTCCTTAGTTTGGCACCAGCCAGAGCCGCTGCGAGCCCTGACACTGACCCATCTTCAGTGCCAGCCCCTTGGCCAGCGCCTGCGGGCGGGGGGGGCGGCGGGGGGGGTGCAGCTCCCATGGGTGGCGGAGGGACTGGGGGGGGTGGCGGAGGTGGAGGTCCCCCGGAGGAAGCAGGGATCACAGCAGCACCACTGGGATGACCAGGTGGAAGTGCTGGGCCTGAAATGCAGAGAACACGGATCAGACGTGAAGTGTGGCCTCCCCCAGCCCATACACAAGGTCACATTCCCGCTCCCAAGGCCCTGGCCTGCCCGATGAGTGAGCAGCGCAAGCAAGCACCGGGCGCACAGAAGAACGGGAAATGGTGGGTGCACCAATGGTCAATCAGCTACAGTTGTGTCCTCCTGCGAGGGCCTGTCACTGGTAAACTAGCCTTCTCTCTCCTCTCTTCCCTGGCTGGGTTAGTGTTTTATTCTGTGCTGAGATAAAACCAGAGACAACACTTCCCAATTCATAACCTTCTTCTGCTCCTCTCATAGCTTTCTACATGGAGATAATAACTACATCAGCCAACTCCGTGGACTTCTGTTAACATCAGAATTGTGGGCTACAGCGACACGCCCTCCTTTCTGTTGAATGGAAAGTGTGTGGCCTCAGCCGGTCCTGCAGAATAATGGGGGGAGAATCCGGCTCCAAGCACCCCGATGTTCAGTGAAGTTCCTCAGAGCAGCAGCCTGTTGGAGGGGCTGATGGCGAGTAGTCCCGTTGCACTGTTTGCCTGTCTGTAACAGGTCAGTTGAAGGAACCCACCTCCCCGAGGGTATTTCCCATGTTAGGTTCCCTCAGAACAGGCTGCTCTCGCTGTATAATCACAGGTTTAATTGTTCAGTAGGTGTTATTTTGAAAGATGGGCGAGTTTTGACTGAGGAACATTTGGAAACTGTATTTAACATTAGTGACCTGGTTTTCTTATCTAGGTTTTGTTACAATACGGCCTTATTTCTGTGGTTACGTCTGCCATTATTTCACACTCCCAATTCCATTCTTGAAATGAACCATAGCTGCTATTAGAAATAGTTTAAACGTTTCAAGCCCTCTTTGGTTCATGAACATAATAGCTAGTAGTATTCATTGTGGGTACAGTTAATTGTAATTGCAAAACTACACCCACCTAATTAGAGGCCAGCCTGAAGCAAAAATTGAATTTGAATCAAAATAATGGACTGATCTGAGTCTAAAATAACTTTATTGAACTAAGTGGATTTCAAGGACTTATATCAGCTGAAGGACTTAGCCTCAGTGGTTGCAGTAATATTTTTAGCAGAAAGAGAAAGGAAATGTCTCAGTTTTCTTCCTTTGCTAGGCACATCATTTAAGCATTATATGTGGTTATAAACAGGAATGGATCCAAGTCACAAAACATATGATCTGAATTGCAAATAGGCATTACTCGTAGAAACAAGAGTGCTAGAAATCAAGACCATATGCAAAGTGGCAGACTCAAGCTCTTGATCTGCCTGCAATGAAAAGAGTTTGCTGGAATAGTTATAGTGACAACCCCTCAATTATAAATGCAGTTCATACCAGGAAGAGACTTTCTAGAATGAAACAAATTACACAAGCACAGGGGGTTCTGGGTAACTATAACAAAATCTATGTTATATCTTTTGGTGGTAACAGAAATGCCACTTAAGAAAAAGAATAAAAATCACAACCTCTACCAATACAGACAAGTCTACCACAGACCTGGCCTCCAGCTTCAGAAGAGCCCATCTGCTATGTTTGGATCAGCTGAATATAGGTTTTGTATGAAGCTTGCTGCCAAATGTATTTTGACTCTGCTGAATGACAAAGAATATGCATTGCAACAACCCAGCTACAGGGCCCTGCTCCTGTCATTCTTGCTTTTTGCCTTGCTTTTAGCTCAGAAGGTCCCTGGACCACTCCTGAGTGATTCTGTGATGCTTCTCGACCTTGGTTTCAGAGATCACGTACAGCAGGAGTAGCCATGGGTTTCTCAGCTCTTTTTCTAGCAGTCATGGGCAGTGTGAATGGGGCTTTTTGAATAGCTGAAAGCTAAGGCTTTATACAGGTCACAACTCATTCAAAATCAGTACTTACTCAAGTGGGCAATGGCTGATGAAGTCATGCTAGGAGGGGTCCTCCTGGGCATAGTCACCTCAGACACAGCAGCGTAAGGGGAAGGCAATGGAAGACAGTGTGACATGGGCTGATACCCCTGCTGTGGTGGATGAGATGATGGATGGGAGGATGGGGAGGGAGCCTGGCCACAGGAGCCAGTGGGGCTGGCAACGGTGGGCAGCGGGGAGGGGGGTGCAGCTCCTAGGTGTGGAAAGAAGGACCCGTCCATGCTTTTCACCTGGGTCCCAGAAGGGCCTAAAGCAATTTTTTCTTCAGGATGGCCATTCAGAGGTACATTTGCTGAGGTCTCCTGGCCTGCTTTATCTGTAGGTCCCCTGACCTTGTCAGGTGGGACAGGAATCACAGGCAGGATGGTGTGACCACGTGGCCGCAGGACGTCAGCCCTCTGTAGAGTTCGTGTGGCAGAGGAAGCAGAAGATCGAGGAGAGCAGGAAAGAGAAGAGCGCCTGAGAGGCTGGCGAGAGGTGAAGGGCAAGTGGGAAGGATGAGGAGGTGGTGGAGACAGCGAGGTTCGCCTGGTGCCTGGCATTACAGCCCTGCCATTTGGGCAGGCTGCAGGAGAGGAAGCTGGGGCTGTGGGCAGCTCGGAGGCCGAGTGCCTGTGCAGGAGCTGCGGGGGCTTTCTGGGTCTCCATGGGGATCTGAAAGAGGACTGACTAGCAGGCTTGGGGACAGCAGGTGCCAAAAACATGGTGCTGGCATGAGGAGGTGGTGGGGGCACAGCACCAGAGGCAGGAGGGCCGCAGTTACTGCAGGTGGGAGGAGGAGACTGGAGCTGAGAGGGGGGAGAACACATGCTTATCTGAAGGGTGGAAACTAAAAGAACAGAAAAGACAAATGAGAAGAGTAAGATGGGTATATGGCAAGGAACAAAACCAAGGCAAAGCAGAACGGAGAAAAAGGAACCGCAAAGTAAACACAAACAGAAATGCAAACAAAGCAAAGAGAAGATGGTGCAGGCACCGGCCGGGGGATTTCCAGCCCTTGGCAGAACCAGAGGGCTGTGCGGAGCAGGGATCTGGCAGCACAGGTAGAGCTGTGTGCTCCAGGGCCAGTGAGGCTCCTCCAAGCCCTGTGTGCATCTGAGTCAGGATCATGAGCATCGCCCTTGCACCAGGGGCATCTGGAACAGACATGCTGCACACAGTGGTGGCCACCTTGTGTTGGTGAGGGTGGGGACAGCCAGAAGCCCCTGGGAACCATGTCCCACTCCTTGTGAATGCCCAGGCAGGATTTTGGCTGCGTTCCCTATGCAGAATAGCACACAGTAACCTCTGCTGAAACAGAGTCCTACAACTTCTGTCGCTAAGGTATGTGTGTGTCTGAGCTGGTTTCAAGTCAAAAACTAAAAAGTTGTAACAGCTGAGGAAAAACATTTCACTTATGTGGCCAGATTAACTGAAAAAACTTCCCCAAAACAAAAGCCCAAACACAAGATGGCCATCTTGGCTTGCTTGCTCTGCCTTCTTTCAAGAGAGGCAAAGCCATACTTTGTAGCTATAAGCTATTCCTGTCATCTCTTATCTCAGCTTAGTGCAACTCAATATGCTTTAGAAGATTTGGTAAGATCATTAAATATGTATATTTTTTCCATTAAGCTCAGAGAAGACTCTTCACTTTGTGACCACAAAATCTCCACCGATGAGCATCCAGAGCTCTATTTCCCTCTGTGCTGTAGTTTGCTTTGTGCTGCAGCGCAATGGGGACCACCTGACCTGGCACATCCAGCACATCAACCCCTTCGTACTGACATCCCTCGGAAACATGGAGTCACTCTTGTGGTGGCTGTGCTACCTGCTCTCCTTGTAGGTGTGGAAGAAGCATGGCCAGGCCCCCTTGGTATGTCTAAAACCCCCCTCAGCTGTACAAGTTTTGCCAAGCACAAAACCTGCCTAGCTACACCTGCGTGCCCCAGCTGGGAGCCTCTGTGAAACAACACAGCTATGCCCAAATGCAGGTAAATCTCTAGCTGAAAATACTTTTAAATCTAAGCAACTATAACCACTTTTAGCAGTCTGTCTCTTGTGTAGCACCACACAATACCCAGCTACAGCTTGAGGAGACAAGCAGGGAGAGACTGTATCTGCTTGATTTGATACATGCCTGTGGTAGAGGTTCTTCTTTCCAGAGATTCCTGGCGCTGTTGCTGTTGCTCCATCACTTGTCTACAACAACAATGAAAAAACTCTTGGTCATTATGTATTCTTTATAATTTTGAGGAAAAGCTTTATACACTGAGAAGCGCTCAAGCTGTACGTCTCGGGTGGTGTGGACCAGTCCCTCACAGAAACGCTGATCCTGTGACATGGAGGTGGGTTTGATTTCACTTGCCCTGGTCGCACGCGTTGGGGAGGTGTAACCAGGACATTGCTCTGTGGCTGCCAGACTCTGCAGGGGCTGGTTAATCCATTTAAGATAACTCCTCACCAGGCTCTGCACGAGGAATGGTCGATGCCTAAGGCCCAGAAGAGCACAGCAACCATGCCTGTCCTTAACCTGGAGTGCATGAGCACTGCAAGGGTAGAGTAAGGGGCATCTCGCATTAACTGACACAGTCCTGAGTCTTCTCTGGAGCCCAAAGGACTTGTAGTTAGAATGAAAATGTAACGAAGCTTGATCTGTGTTTAGGTGCTGATTGTACAAAACTTGTTTTGTCCAGCTGCACAGCCAAGCCCTTTGGTGGCACTGGACAGCCTGGCTGACAGCCTGTCACCTCACACGCCCACACAGCCGCCCTGACCCCTGCGTTTCCAGCATGGCCACAGGGACTACAACTGCTGCATTTCCTCCAGAAGTGCTGATAAAACATGGCACTGCTGCTTTTTTGGCACCTTTCTCCCCAGGAGCTGCTAGCTCCGTGCTACCCAGGCCTGGTGTCCCATAGGGACATGCACTGCCAAGCCTCCTCCCGGGCTCTGCTTCCCAGGGATGTGCGGCTCCCAGGGATGGTGTGGGGTTCCCAGGGATGGTGTGGAGTTCCTAGGGATGGTGTGGGGTTCCTAGGGATGGTGTGGGGTTCCCAGGGATGGTGTGGAGTTCCTAGGGATGGTGTGGGGTTCCCAGGGATGGCGTGGCGTTCCCAGGGGTGGATGTGCAGTTCCTGGGGTCTGGCAGCAGAGGTCTTCTCTTGCACGCTGTAACTCTGCTGCAGAACCAGCTGTCACTGACCCTGCCACAAACCCACTCTGGCATTTCTCTTGTTAAAAAAGACTAAAACCTAAACTATTTGCCAGGCTTTTTACCATGTGCACGGATATGGACTAAAGATTTCAACAGTACTAAAACACAACTCTGAAATTACCTTACTAGAGCACTTAGTAATAAGGTTTATTTTAATTTTATTCCATGATTTCTAATCCAATTTGCCTTGAATTTGTTCCACATATGTTTGGGCCAGTCTTAGCTGCATAGAGATTTATTTTTTCCGTAACAGCTTTACTTCATGGTCTGTACAGTAAGGCAAGCTTAACCCTAGCCAACACTTCTATTTTGACTCCTTATGTAATATTTTAGAGAGATCTCCCTGTTACATTTTAATTTGCACTTTCCTGAGCCTGCAATTTTAAAATAAGTCTATCTTCTTACATACAAACAAAAGCTTTTTTAGAAAAAAAGTCCAGAAAAATGAAGTTGCATTATGTATGGAAAAAATAATGTCTTAATTTGCAAAATGAATTTCCCATATTTCAATTCTAACTCAATAGATGGGACAGGAAAATCCACAATTATAATTATTTGCTGCGGAGGGATCAATCCTAAACTGATTTTATGTTCAGAACATGCAATCCATCAAACACCGTCAACTTCTGGAAAACCATTACGGGTAACTGAGAGAATTATTGTATGTGCAAAGGTGAAACAGTTTTCAGGAACAGCCTTAGTTGGCTGATTCAACTCGTTTCATGTAAGTGATGCTACTTTAAACCAGATAAATAGAAATCTTGACTTCAGTACATACCCTGGCTCTTACTTGATAGTTATGAGCTGAACACAGGCAACAGCATCAACTGCACTGCTACAATTTCAATTACAAACACATCTACTAAGAATTTCCTAAGCATACCGTCCCCTACCTTAGCTTGGCATGAAGAATTACTTGACACATACATTTTCCCATTAAACCTGGGGGAAATTCTAGGTTTATCTGGAGGACAGACTTGGAAAACTCTAGCCTGACAGACCAGAAAAGAAATATGAGTAAGAAATCTCTAACTCATTAGAGCTGCTGCAGAGCAGGTGCAGGTGCAGGGTCTTCCCCAAAAGGGTCAGCCACCACCATTTGAAGTCGTTGGGGTTCATGCGAGCCCTGGCTGCCCTTGGGCAGAAGCAGTTTGTATGTGCCAAATGCACCCTCCCACACATGCCAAAAGAAGTTCTTACACTCTTAGGAAGTCAAATTTATTCCAGTGGAACTAAATAAAGCCTGAGATTTTCACAAGGCTGCTTAAGGAGTATGCAAGAAGTAACGTACAAGAGGGTACAAATCACACTCTGACTTAAAAATACATTCTTTTAACATTTGTGTAAAGGTCTCTAAAAAACCTTTCAAACAGAAAAATTTGCAAGGTAGTTACCGTAACTTAATTTCCTTGCCTACTTATAAGATATATTAAAAAAAAGCTAGGCCTAAAATTAGCTCTGCTCTATGCTTAAAGAATGCATCAGCATAATTAAAGCTGAAAATCCTCTAGTGCAGATGCAGTAATATCTAAGTGCATCTACAGGCATAGCTTATTCCAGTTCAGTGGAGCAAAACAAGCTTTCCCAGAACCATGTGCCCTGTGGCAATCAAATAACACCTACCCAAAAGGCTTTTACTGTCCCTAAACAAAAAACAATTTTTTTTTCTCACATAGTTAAGCTGCTCACACTTTACACATACAGACTAGACACCTAAATTTAAGTTCTGAGTTACATATGGTCTGAAGAATTGGTGATTTCCACGGTTAAATGAAGAGCTGGGTCAGGTCCTTCAGCCAGGCAGCAGGGATGGATGGCACCCCTGGCCCCTGGGTGAGAAGGAGCTCCCCTCTGACCTTTACAATCCCAAAGTAAATCTTACACATCTCGAGTGAAATATCATTACCTGCTGACCAGGTATATATGTAACAGTCATATTTAAATCCCTACTAAACTCAGGCCATTCAGAGTTATTCATAAAGGCACAGAAAACGAGTTTCCTACAATTTTTTTGGAGGGAGAAAGAGAAAATCCTCAGTACCTACCACAACCTGTGTAAGGACCTTGTCTTAAATGACGTATACGTGTTTTTGTGTAGGGACCAATCAGAATGGTAGTCCTGGAGCATCAGTGCAAATGATATATTGCAACACTTCATCTCTGCTGCTCCAGGAGCATGTGATATTAAGCTACACAACCCATAGGACCAGGGCAATCCCTGGATCCTGCAAGGGGGGACCTTGCCTGCTTACAGGCTGCACCTACAAACAAAGGCAGAGCCTACACTCTGTAGGCTGCCACGTCAGACGCCATGTCAGACCAACGTCTGACATCTTTGGTGCTGAACAGCCCCTGCAGGTCTGGTTCCATTAAAATCCTTGCAAAGCTATTTATTATCTGAACCAAACATTGAGACAAGTCCTCTGGAGAGCTACCTGCATTTGCTGATCCTCCTCTCGTTACAGAAGCAAAGGCAAACACCTCATTTAAGCAATGCCAGGCACCAAACTTGGAGCAGTGAGAGGTCCTGCCTATTTCTGTACTCCAGTGCTCTCTTGATGAAGTAAGGCTCACCAGCCTGTATGTACTATGGCAGAATAACCTGGGGTGTTTCTCACACAGTAGGAGAAACTCACCTGCAGTAAGCAGCAATATGGGGAACAAAGGTGGTGTTTTGTGTGCACAAGCCTATACTTCAACAGGGAATCCTGGCATCCTAGAATCATTAAGGTTGGAAGAGACCTTTAAGATCATCAAGTCCAACTGTCAACCCAAGACCACCATGCCCACTAAACCATGTCTTGAAGTGCCATGTCTACATTTTTTTTGAACCCCTCCAGGGACTCTGACTCCACCACTTCCTGGGCAGCCTGTTCCAATGCTTGACCACTCTTTCAGTAAATAAAGTTTTCCTAAGATCCAATGTAAATCTCCCCTGGCACAACCTGAGGCCATTTCCTCTTGACCTATCCTCCTGGCTAAGCAGTGCTGCTGGCATGGACACCACCAATGCCAGGCAGACAGACCACAGCTCTGACAGCATGGACAACTGGTCAGACTAGAAGACCTTGTCCAGAATGGAACAGGTGTGTCTTATTCTTAGTGAAGGAAGCTGAAGATGCTGCTGCTACAGGGATTTCTACTGCTGCTATAGGAATCTGAGCTGAATCAGCAAAGCTGAAATCATAGAATCATAGAATCATAGAATGGTTTGGGTTGGAAGGGACCTTAAAGATCATCTAGTTCCAATCTCCCCTGCCATCAGCAGGGACACCTTCCACTAGACCAGGTTGCTCAAAGCCTTACCCAACCTGGCCTTAAACACTTCAAGGGAGGGGGCATCCACAACTTCCTTGGGCAGCATGTTCCAGTGTCTGACCACCCTTACAGTGAAGAATTTCTTCCTAATATCTCATCTAAACCTACCTTCTTTCAGCTCAAACCCATTTCCCCTTGTTTTGTCATTAACTGCCCTTATGAAAAGTCCTTCCCCAGCTTTCTTGTAGGCTCCTTCAGGTATTGGAAGGCTGCTATAAGATCTCCCCGGAGCCTTCTCCTTTCCAGGCTGAACAGCCCCATGAGATGGACCTTGTAATTTAGTTATGGACATAGGCATATAGGGACCGACACTCCTGCCCACCTTCCCTTTGACACCAAGGAGACCACTGCTATTGGCCAGAGAAAAGGCCATGTCTAATATAGGCACTAAGCCTGACATACATGTAAAGGTGAAGGCTATGACTTTACAATTTCATTTATTATCCTGGTTTAGAGCAAAACATTCACAAAAGGAATGGCACATGATATCTGAAGTAGCCATACGCAAAATGGGCCTAAGCTTTTACCAAGTGTTTATATGGCCCATCAGACGCTCCATGGGCAATAAGTCTGTGAACTGTCAGCAGGTGACCCAGAACAGGATAAAGTTAGGCTTTCTTAATGTGCTTGAGAAACAGACATTCAACAAATTACTTTTAAAACACGTTTTGTCGTTAACTCTGAACATCATGCCTCACACTTGCCTTTGAGTAAAAAGTCTACCTAGGGCTTCAGTTCACTTCACCCTTTGAAAAGTCATTACAGAATCATTAGCAATAATTATAGAAAACTCAGAATCAGCTTAAATCAGGTACAAGTGAAAAGAACAGTGCTTATTGGTGAGCAAGGACTGCACATTCATCAAAGTTACAAACTAGAACTCTACCATAACTGATTAACACCACTTACCTTCTCTGTGCTTCCATCTCATCTGGAGATGGCCCATTCTGGACCTGGCGCTGGGCAGCTGGACCTACAGAAAACATAAGAGAATGCTATTAGGAAAGTAAATGTGGATGACTTTTTTAAAAAAACCCACTGCTACTCAGATTAATTGCTTCTCCATCTTACTATGAGAGAAAAACCTGTGCTTGCACAGTAACTCAACCACAGCTGGTGAGCATACATGCTAGCTAGTGCTGCTCTGATGCTGAGCTGGTATCAAGAAGCTATCTGATGGAAGGTGCAAGGAGATGCAAAATTAAACAAGCCTAAAAAAGGTGACTTTTCTTTTTACAATTCTGTTGGTCTCCTGCTTCTGCAGGATTCACATCACACTGAGCTTTCACTGGCATTCACCAACAAAACCCAACTATGCACGTCGACATTTAAGTCACATCTCTCTTGGCTCTGATTGTTTAATCTCTGTTCTTGGACATTTAATCAAGCACACTGACACTCCATACCACTTTCAGAAAGAAATAATTATTCTGAAAATAAAAATAATTGTTGGTAACATAAGCTACAATAGTCTTGCATTGAGGGAAAGGAGGATTGTTCCATTCATTTGATGAGCTGGGTTCCAACTGGGACTAAACAGGTAAGAGTTCTATTAAATGCAACAGTAATTTTCCTCATAAACAGAACTGAGAAATAGATCAGGAAATTATTATGTCTACGTTATTGTCTTCATTTTCATGAAATGTAAAATTTCGTTCTTTAAAAGTTATCCAACAAGAGAAAATCAGAATTAAACACTTGCAAAACCAAATATGTCACTCACAAATTGTTAAGAGTATTTCTCTCAATTTTCTTTCTATGTTTCTGCCAGGCAGAATGTCATCTGAAAATGAATTTAGAAAGTATGACTGCGTGAAAACAGGAAATATGGCAGAAATGCATTTCAGTCAGAAATTCCAGAGTGTTGACTGATCCTGATGAAATTGTGCATATTTTTGAAATGTGTTTAAGGACTAACATTTGCAGAAAGGGAACACAGCACTTCCTGAAAATTGTGTCCATGTGTTCCAGTTTTGGGTATCCCAAAATTGGAGCCAGTGACAACCACTGAGTGAAAAGCTCTGACATTTAAAAATATCTTAGGATTGGGTATGAAGTGAAGACAGTTCACTTCTTTAATGTCTCATGACTGACGACTTAATATTCTTTATCACAGGCGTGTGACAAACTATTTGGACACAAATGCCACATTTTGTAAAGATCACATGAGACAATGAGTGAGGGGGAAGAGGGTGTTTTTTTGGATGCAAGCCTCAGGAAAAAACTTAGCAGGTATTTGGGAAGCACAGAGCAGCAGGCTCACATGTAAGGAGTTTAAGGTGTAACGAGGATGCCATGTTACTGGGTGAATGCTTGTCCTGTGCATCTTCACCACTGAAGTGAAAGAAAGCCAGAGCTACCCCTGAGCACCAGTTATGGAGTGAATTTTAACTTCTGAACATGGTGGGAAGACAGGTAAAGTCCCATCGCCAACCTGTGGAATTGGACCTGGCTCCCCACATGCAGCAGTGTCACTGGTTTGGACCCTGGCTCTGGTGTGTGGAGATTAACACCCATGGTCTCCTGTACACATACATGTACCTGTGAGACTTTTTACACTTGGTTCCGTTATGTGTGTGCTCTGCAGTGCACATACAGCAGACACCTGTTGGAGAGTTTTTTAAATTCGAGTGGATTTCTAGGTTTAACTCCTCTCCACATTTTTAGTTATTTCTCAGACCTGAACAGACACAAACAGTAAGTGTTCTTGGTGATGGCATCCTCATTTAAACGTGCTTCTCGAGCTGCCCTGTGAGCTGCCTCTGACCCTGACAGCCTTTGGGAACAGCCTCACAGAGAAGAGTGCTTCTCAGCACAATAACCAGGAGAGACAGTTTTGCTACTGACCCGTTTGCAGCTTCACAGCTGTTGCAATCTACATTTTTAGCAACTAATTAATGCAGGAGATACGCCGTGAATGTCTGTGTATCCTCGCTTCATTGCTTCGTAATAATTAACTGCATTTTTATATAAGCATCTTGTGATTCAGCTCAAGGCAGATTTTGGGAGCACACGGACGTTTTCCGTGTTTGCTTCTTCTCCTCCAGCTCAGCTGTCCCAGTGCCCGCTCTGCTCTTCCCCAGCTGTCCCTAGGGATGGCAATGGGGAACTCCTGGCACAGGACACTGCTTCAGTAGTGATGGTTTCCATATGTCGTTGGCTGCTCCTGCACCACTGTACCCTGCTACTGCTCAGAGATGTCCGCGTCTGGACCCGTGGCCAGCCACAAAATAGGACCAAATCTGTTACTGCTCCAGCTTCCACTCTGGTGTAGCTGCATTGGGAAGGCATGAACAAGCAAGAACAATCTCATCATTTCTCTCCTGTGGGGCAGCCCCAAGTAGCGTTTTCTTTTTCCTCTTTTACTTATCCTACAACTGCAAGCACCACTGACTGCACGGACTCAAGAAAGTGGCAAAACTTGGCCCATTTCCCTGAGCAACCAGGATTTTATGCTTCTTCAATAAGGAAGGTGCAATCTAACTCACTTACAGATCTTTTGTTCATTATACACACTGGAAGCAGCCCCCTAGGGGGGGTTTCTGCAACCCCTATAGCCTCCATGGTGCTTATGGAGCAGTGATGAATGTGGTGGGCTAAGGAAAGGGTCCAGAGTTAGACCTGAATAAGAAATATATCTGGGCTTTAAATTTGTGAGATTGAAAATTTTTCTTTTGCATATGAACAGAATATGATGATTTTGTATGAAAAAAACCCACAGCAGACTATGGGAGGAAGAGAGGTGAGAGACAGACAGCTCTCCCTCATCACTTGATGGTTTCAGCATGTACTTGGATTGCAGTCAGACCAGGTCTGACCCATTGTCAGTTATATCTTGGGAATGTGACATAAGCACTTGATTATTCTGACCAGAAGAAATAATTCCAGATTACAAGTTCCTGCAAAGCTTTTCTTTCCCACAGAAATACCTTTCATTGGCATTTTCTGACAGAAAAAGAAAAAAAACTATATCAGTTGTCAAAAGCATTTCTGACCAATGCTAATCCCTGTTCCAGGGCACTGGGGAAGCAGTCCTGGCCGGTGGACTTTGCCGTCTTCACCATCACCTCTCCCCTCCATCCCCACACAGTCGGGGGGTTCCTTGCTCCAGGACCCCTCAGGCAGACCAGCCGTGTGATGGGGCTGTGACACCAAGTGGGCTCCGGCCCCGCTCTGGCTGGACAGGGAAGTGACCTGCGTCTCCTTAGACCATCACTTCCCCTGTCCACAGCCTGGCTGTAATTTTAGCTCTCTTGCCACTGTTGGGCAATCACACTGCTGCTGTAGAGACTCTGTCAGCACTTCAAACATCTGCCTCTGCCCTCAGGACCTCAACCTGTTCTTGGTCCCTTCGGCTGGTCCTGGTGGGGACTGCACATGCCAGAGATGTCCTGGCTTGGCCACAGGCCATGAGGCAGCCCCCACCGAGGGAATGGGCACAGGAACTGGGTGCAGCATGTCTCTGTTAGTGACACTGCCTCAAACTCATTAGTACAGACAATTATCCTGGACAAAGCACCGATCTAATTAGCCTAGATAAAGCATGGAGATAAAGCAGGGTGCCTACACTACTTCTGGGGCCCAAGCTAGTACAACCAGAGTTGGATGACATGGCAGGTCATGTAGACCTACATTTCCATGGTGAGTTAAAGGACTGGGAAGAGGGATCACCCCACTCGCTGTGCCCCATCACTGCAGCTGGCCAGAGCCATCAGCCCTTGGCTGAGCTGCCACAGCGCCTCCCAATGGGGTTTGGGACTCCCCATGTCTGCCTTGTTTGACATGTGTCCTGGTTTTGCTAGGACAGTTAATTTTCTCCTTAGCTTAGAAAGCACGTGTTTTGGTGTCAGTGTAGGATTTGTTATGAGAAGAATGTTGATAATGTACAAGGTAATCATGTTTTGTTAGTTTTCAAGTGCAAAGGACTGGGAGTGGAGAAGTGTAGTAATTAGCAAACCCCAAATTTCGTATTTGGATATGCCAATGAGATATTACATATCATATGACGTCATGTTCAGTACATTAATCGGGGCTGACCGGAAAGTGGGGGGATTCTCTCCAGAATCGCTCAGTTTTGCTCTTCCGGGATTGTGGTTTTGGGTTCGGGGTTCCGTTTCGCTCCTCTGGGATCGCTATTGGCAGGTGGTGAGCAATTGTACTCAGCATCACTCATTTATATATGCTATTATTACCATTACTATTTTAAGTTTATTTTACTCCAATTATTAATTTGTTCTTATCTCAGCCTACGAGTCTCCTTACCTTTACCCCTCCAATTCTCTCCCCTATTCCCTGGATGGAGAGGAGGTGGGGATGTGAGCGGCTGGGTGGTGTTTGGCTGCCAGCCAAGTTAAAATACTACAACGTGCAACAGCTCATGCATTAGGCACACTGTGGGGGGTGACTGTCTGATGGGATGCAGGGGCTAAGGAAAAGCATAGACAGACAGACAGACAAATGGGGCAGTTTTGTCTGTGGGTCACTAGATGCTCAGTTTTTAAAATTTTAAAGCCATTGGGGTTTTGTTGTGCTGCTAACTAAGCGACAAAGTGCCTACAGCTTTGTACAGGATCCTGTTGGATCAGCTGAATCACAGCAAGCAAAACCACCCTGGCAGAGAGAGGGAGCACAGCCACCGAAGGGAGGGTTTGGGTACCATGTCACAAAGCCTGCTTTCAGGCTGTGTTTGCCTCATTCCTATTAAACATTAACTTAGAAAGTGTTTCGGAGAGTTTTATTCACAGACTGGGTGCCTCCACAGCATTTATAACAGAGTACATTAAGTACCTTCTGTAACATCATTCACACATGGACCAAACTTTTCTGCAAAGAAATTTATCAGCCTTAATTAAGCTTCACCAATGCTGTGAGGTAAAAGTTAAGTGACTAACCAGACAATGTCTGCACAAGTAAAATTCATTTGCATCAATTTATCTACAGGTGAGATTTGCTATCTAAACCTATGCAAAAGGT